ACAGTAAATCAACATGTCTGGTGATTTTATTATCTTAAATTTCGAATTTGTACTGACAAAGTTTCTCATCACCCGTTCGTTTGCCGGACTTCGCTGAAGGGGTACGGTGTAATTTTTTTCTGCGCATAATATTCAAATTTTTTTTTTTTCAAAATATTGAATCGGGGGAGGGACCCATTATACATGGGTGCGCACTATACTCAAGAAAATACGGTATGCTTGTCGTAAGAGGCGACTTACAAGATCAGGTGGTCAGGCTCCCTGACTTGGTTGATGCATGTCATCATATCGCAATTGTGTGGATCGATGCTCATGTTGTCAATCACTGGATTGTCTGGTCCAGACTCGTTTATTTATAGACCGTCATCATATAGCTGTAATAATTCTGCATGCGGCGTTAAACAACAAACCAACCAACCAACCATAAAGCAGCACCAAACATGTATCAAGGTCACTTCACTGCTCATTGAAACTGCTAGCTTTAACACAAGAAAATCACATCTGTAATTCATACATTTCAAAATCAATATGAACTGTACTTCCCACATAAATAGTTTATTTGTTAGAGATAAAAATACAACCACAAAGAACTTACAGTTGTATCTGCCTAAACTATATAAACATGTATATGCCTAAAAATACAACCACAAAGTACTTACAGTTGTATCTGCCTAAACTATATATATGCCTAAAAATACAACCACAAAGTACTTACAGTTGTATCTGCCTAAACTATATATATGCCTAAAAATACAACCACAAAGTACTTACAGTTGTATCTGCCTAAACTATATATATGCCAAATATCTGCCATTACTTTGAATATACTCTACAAACGATATCCCCAATTCAGGGCTCCAGATGTAGTGTTCTGCCTTTGGTCTTCACTCACATGTTGTTATCATTTACTTCGAGTATTGATAGTTTTATTTGGGTGTTCAAAATCTTTTTACTCCCTTGGGTCCTGATTTGGGTATTTAATAACCAATGAGTGGATCTCTTTTTGAACATAATTCTACTTAAATTGTTTAAGGTGACATCTTATTTGCATCTGCCCCAAGTGTGTCACATATAACATGAGCTTACCACAGCAATACATGTCTCCATTATGATAAGGGAAATGTAGCCGTCTAGAGTCTTACTCACTGCAGAAGTGTTACTGAACAGTGATACCTACATCTGATCAGGTAGAAAAGGTTTGAAAAGATATGCAGGTACGCAAGATGAGTATAGGGCCATATTCGGTAATTATGCAGTGTCGTTATACTATGAGTTGTAGTCAGTTTAATTATGGCATGAGTATTTGTACTAAAGCAACTCAAACTTACTTGGGTTATGGTGATTAATATATAGAGGTTATCTCGCGAGTGTGTTTGGTGATGGTAATATCCTGCATTAGGAATAAACATTGTATTTAGCGAGCCTTGGCGAGCTAAATACATAGTGTTTATTCCTAATACAGGATATTTACCATCCCCAAACACACAAGAGTGATAACCTCTTTATCATATAATGTCATTCTGTAATTCTGTGCTTCAAAATCGCTTTCCCTCTCTCACAAACATTACCGAAACATTGCGAGTTTTCCTGGAATGCCCGCATTAATATTTATTACATCACAGGGTAAGTGATGTGTCAGTCGGACAGTGACAGTAGCCAATATAGTTCCAACTGAAATCTGTTTCTTATACAGTGGTGATGCAACATATACCCAAAACAACAATTGTTTTTAATTGCCTTTCGTGGCAATCCATCGGTCTGTCTGCTAGAGTAACTGCCCTATGTCAAAGGGAAGCTACTCTAACCCTAGTCTATGAAACGTCACTGCCACGGTCAGACGTCGTTGACAGTCGGTCTGTCCTGTCATAACGTTAAGAAGTGTAGTCAGATGTACACAAAGCGACAAAACGAAACAAGGTAACAATTCGAACATATTTCGGCCAAATCCAACTTATTTAATTTGTGGAGAAGGTTTCAAGCCGCAGAGGTTGTTTCAAAATTTATATCTCCAAAGTTGCCAAAACTTATAAAATGCCTTAGCTACGTCACAGTTAGACACTGATTTTCATTATATTAGACTGTTCTTTTGAAAATGATAGCAATTATCCCTGTAGTGTATCCAGATTCCCGATGGTTAATTCTGACTCGATTGCCATGTTTGTTTATATACAGTGAAAGTAGTCCCTACTTGACCTTTGATATTTGCATCTCTATCTGCATATGACCCCAACGGATATCGTTTTTATACGTTGGCTTTATCCTGTTGAGAAACCTACCCATTATATGATAAATTGTGCATATCTTACCAAACTAAGCAGCTTATCTGGCTATCTGAACAATTGGTTTCTGTGAAGGTATTTCAGAATAATGTGTTGTGAAAATAAAACACTGCTTAACAGTGATACGAAATTACACAAGCTGTTAATGTTTCAGTTACCATGGTAACAGACCAAACACATTTTCAATCAACAGGAAATAATAGGTAGCAGTATACTTGAAACTGTATCTGACCTGTTGTCAAGTTGCTGATGAGAAGTAGACATTCATGGACATATCGCCATCAGTTGTTTCTGGAGATTTATTAAAGATTAACCCCTAAAATAAAGCTGCTTACACTAACAATAGTAAAAGAATTTAAATATATTTTCATTTGCTTACATAACTGCACAAGGATAACATACATGGTTAAGGTTATTTTTTGGCTATAAAATCAGTTCGTTTAAAAAATAAGCTATATTCACCAACTACATTCAATAAGAAACAGTATCAACTTGATTTCCTACACTGAGGAAACATCATGAAACATGAACAACACCAAGGTATAAAAGGGTTAAGTTACCTGCAGAAATTACCCTAGACAGAAATGATCTTAGTATGGCTTTGTTCATTCCCAACTAAATGGAGCTTGCCCGTGCAGGGTTTTCACAATCAAATTCATTAATTAAACTCTTTCAGACCAAGGCTGAAAGTCAGGGATCACGCGGCCTGTCTGCTTTCAACTAATGATGGATAATCTGCGCGTAGTTTCCTTCGGTTTTATACCAACCCTTTGTAGGTACCATCAAGGCAAAAATATCAATAATGACCACTTCTAAAGAAAACGACTAAGGGTCGCTGCTATGATTTCACTGTCCGGATAAGACGCAGACAATTTTTTGCTGAAGACTGTAATAAGACAGGTAACCATAGGTACTAGGTCCATATTGAAGTCAAGTGAGGTATGAACTGTTTTGTAAGAGGAAATAACGCCAACATGAAACCACGGCGGGTCTACAGGGAAAAGAAAATGATATTTTCAGTGTGATCTTTTCTAAAAACCATAATTAACTGCCCACAGTGCAGTAATGATCTTTCTGAATCCTGTGTGTGAAAATGAAAAAGACCATAGAAAGGGCGTCTTGAGCACCATTTCCTCTCTGCGACCATGGCGACGTTGATGGTAAAGGATGATGACAGATGTCTTAGGGCCTCTGTAAGGATACGTATATAATCAAACGGCAATCTCTTTGTGTTGGCCTATACTCCAAATGTTACAGAAGAAACCATATGTGAACAGCCCTGATAGGGCCCAGCTTTGATGTGATCTGAACGGTTTCACAATGAAGTCGTGTCAATGTGGGATGGTAATCACTTGGCCCAGACTAACAACACGATCTCGGTGTGACCTACTTGTAATTGTGGCAGTTTGGAAAAATGATCAAAATGCAAAATCAAGAAAAATGCAACAGAAAAGTCTTCTGCCTCTTCAATCAAAGAAATCCAAGAATACAGAATTTAATTTGGGACAAAACCTCATATGAATAACATGGTGGTTGTTTTTCTATGATTTCCCAATATGATCACTGCAAGGGTTTATCAGAAAATTAAGCTGTGCTTCCTTCAGGGAAATATCCCAATGTCACTCTTCGGCACTGAAGGATAACAAAGACATTCCTGGCACACAAATAACATGACATCGGCCATAATTATCAGTTTCCTGTTGAGAATCAAATATAGCAGCACTAATAGTTTGAATGCAACATCTAATCTGCAGGCTTTCTCGGGATCTTATCATCCAGGCAGACGTTGATACCTTGAATATTTATAGATTCCCTCTTCATCAACCTAATCCCACCATAATGTCAGAATGTTGTCCGTATACAGTGTAAGCAATGAAATCTTCACTGACTACAAGCTCTTTTGACAAGACGGTTAGATACAAAAATACATTATTGTTATGAAATTAAAACCTGTTGCATGCAATCATTGTACATCACTTTGTTCTTGCTTCAACATCAGTAAATCAATATCACAAGTTAAGTCAATGTAATAATATGTAATGACTAAACATGAACATTTGTTTTTAATTAATTCCTAGAAAAGATTGTACATTCATGTTAACTGTTGATGATCACAGTGGATGTTAACTGTTTATTGATCATAACAGTGAATGTGAACAGTAGATATTAACTGTTGATGTCAAAAGTAGATGTTAACTGTTGATGTCAAAAGTAGATGTTAACTGGTGATGTCAAAAGTAGATGTTAACTGGTGATGTTGACTGTGGGTGTTTACAGGATATGTTAACCATATATGATAACAGCAGATATTAACCATGAATGTAAACTGTAAATGTTAGCACTGGATGTTAATTGTAGTGGATTGTAACTGCATGAGCAGTGGAAATAATGTTAACTGTTGATGTTAACAGAGGTTGTTAACTGCAGATGTTAACTAATGGTGTTACCTGTAGATGGTAACAGTAGATGTTAACTGTAGATGGTAACAGTAGATGTTAACTGTAGATGGTAACAGTAGATGTTAAATGTAGATGTTACCTGTAGATGTCACCAGAGGTTAACTTTTGATGAGGGTCTAAAGATCTAACAGTGGATGGATGTCAACTGATTATGTTAACTGGACATGAAGATGTACATTAACAGTGGATGTTAGCAGTCGATTTAAACCATGGATGATGTTTGTAAGAAGTTTGATGCAGAGGGAAATCCTGCATTACTTACTGTATGTCATCAACAAAGGTTGTATTGAGACCGATGACTTTGGTCAGGTTCATCACAAATGCTGTCGCTTGGGCCGGAGTAATCCTGAAACACAGACAAACCAAATCATTAGTAACTTGAAATAAAATATTAACAAACTTGTCTTAAACCATAGTGATCTTATAATATATTGACCAATATAATGACATTAATGACACAGTCAATAAGTGGAGCATCATCATCATCGTCGTCGTCGTCATCGTTGTTGTCGTCATTGTCGTTGTCGCCATCATCATACAAATGTCAACAGCATCAAATCAATATACAGTCAAACATTGATGTGTCAAAGTTGAAGGGACCTACGTAAATACTTAAACATGGACTTGGATCTTCTTATGGTCTTTAAGAACAAGATTTTTCAATTTGATTTTTTTTTAATTTAATAGCCAAATACACATTGAAATCACATTGATGTGAACAAGATAAGACTTCTTCATAAGAAAGATCCTGCATGTCAAATTTCAGCTTTAATTTTTAGGTCAAGTTTCGTTTCCATGGCAACAACATGCAAAAACCTAGCGAGTATGAATACAATTTTTGAGTGAACTGCCAATTTATCATATAGTGCCGAATGACTTGCAGCATGGTTAGGGCCATTTTTGTGCAAGACATTGGGAATCCCTTATCTAAGCACACTGGGAACATCAGTCAATAGTTTATTGAGAAGAAAGGCACTGCATTGATGTATGGTGCTTGGAAGTAGTTCCTGCTGGATGACCACATTTGCATATTTATCGGATCATGATACCAAGTTTATCAGATTTGTTTATTGCATCGATAGCACTATCCATTATATGATAATTTGATGAAACACGGTGGCAGGCTAGTGTGCAATGGGGTCTAAGATACGGTTTCCCAACCTCGCACCTAGTTTGAAGTTCATTGCTCATGACAGCATTTTCACTTTGGTGGCACACCAACTATTAGGCCATAAAGGATAAATCAAGGTAAAAATTCGGTATATTGCAGAAAATGGTACGCTACTAACTACACCAAAGCCAAATTTCAATACATTTTGAAAAAAGAAGGCCAACTAATATCCAATAATATGTCTCTAAATGTGGCTGCTGAGGCCAAGCTTTAATTGTAATCTGAGTTCCGTTGGCAGATTTTGGCGACACTATAGCTGGGATCATTCATACAATGTTTCAGCTCCATAGGCCTTGTAAAGAAGATATCGAAAATGTAAAAGATAATGACAACTGGACAGACAGACCGATAGACAGACAACACGCCACTTCATAAGCTCACTTGACTTTCCAGGTAAAAATTTAAAATATATCACATTGACATTTTGAAAGCAAATGGCTGAGTAATGGCCATAAATAGCTGTTACAATATGTCTGATGAGGTGGACATTTTAAAAAATGGAATCGAACCTCTTGAACAAATTGGGAAGTCATCATTAAAGGGAACAAGAAAACAAAATTTCAGCCTCATTGGTCTAGTGGTTTTGAGAAGAAAAGACATTTACAATGGACAACAGAGGACACGCGACACACAATGCACAACACATGAAGGACGATGGGACGCCACATGAGCTAAAAATCAAAATTCATCATTCTTCATTATGTTTGTGGAAGGCCAATGCAAAATTGAACATGAGTCTTTCAGGTAGACGTGTGTCAGCATGTGTCAGTCATTCCATGATGTGGTTTTGGTTACTTTGTGTCTTGGGTAGCGTACCACTTTCAATATCCGGGATCCACCCACGGGTGCTTGGGGGATAAGAGAGCAAAATTGCTAAAGGTAATTAAGACATGACAACTTTTAAAAACACATTACGTATCAGGATGTATATGTAATAACCTGAACGTTCCATTAAATGACACAGAATGGTTGATCATATTGCTCTGAATGTGGTTTTTAAATTATATTCTCCAGACCACTGTATCATAGAATATCTTCTTATCATCTGTCATATGCTATCCATCCAGGATAAATCCAATTTATGTATCAATATTTCAAACAGGATTAACAAGACTTTTGCATCTTACAATAAAGAATCATTGTACTAGGTGTGGCTTGAAAAAGAAGAACAATTCTTATTAGCTGACATTATCACAGCAGAAAAGGGAATAATTAAACCAACTATTTGTTGCACTGTGTCAAACTTTTGTGAGAGTGTTTTGTTTTCGTTTTCAGAATAGCATGCAAAAAATCAACTTTACTGAAGATAAGTGATTTTCACAATGGCCTGAATACCCAGATAATATAGTGGACAAGTGGGGAAAGAATTTACGGACACGCTGTCAAATACTTTTTCTTAATGTATTCTTTCAAGGTCAACTGATGCAATTATTTAGGTTCGCCAGCTCTAATGCTTATTCTACAATGATTGTAGGACAATGAATCACATAAACGTAAGCCATGGGACAAAAAGTGTCAGAGCTAATGATGCACTTGCCGATGAATGTTTACACAGATTCTGATCTGTGAAATCAGCTTCTAAGGAAAAAATTTAGGACTAAAATGAGGCACATCAGATTTCAAATCCAAAGTAAATATCTGTCCGACCTTAAAGGACCGATCAATTTTATCCCAAAATGATGGAGCGTAACATGCAAGATATCAGTGACACGGCCTGATGGACCAATGAGAAATAGATGAAAAAGATGTGTTTGCGACGTAGCACAACGGCCATGTTGATCGAGGATAAAAGCAGTGATATCGATACCCATATTCAATTTGTCTTTCGATCTATGTGTTGTTTAGCGTGTGCATTATCGAGACCTCATCAAGCAAAGATGAACACACTGCAAGCGCATGCCGTCAATTCTGAACTCACAATGGCTTCACGCAATGATAATGACTTAGGGTAAGGTGAGCCCTCAAATCACTCGTTCATGCACTGGCCTCATCCTGGCAGAATCAATAAAACCTGCAGTCATTGGCTTTCAATTAATGTAGGTAGTTATAATGAACAAACCTGAAAAATACATCAGGGTAGAAATTATCTGAGAAAAATCCTTTGTTATTATATCTCAATTGCTTCCAAAGGATGGCCACATTACTTACTTACTTAATTGAAGCATCTGCCATCCTGCTTACCCTCATACAAACTTTAGTTAGGGGTTTTCCATCAAATTTGAGTCACACAGATGGCAGCACTAAATATGAGGTTGACAACTGAATCCCCTTATATCTTCTATAAATCCACTGGTTACAACAGTGATGATCAAGCTTCAGCCACAGGATTGTATTTGTTTGTATGGAAGTCTTTAAGTGGTCAAATTGAGGATGAATACCATTTGCTGCTGATTTGCCCATATTATTATGTGAGTACAAAACAGCTTATCCAGAATATTTTTCTAATTTATTCCTCACGTTCTGTCAAATAATACCTTCAAATGATACCGATACGCTTTACGGCCTGTCTATTTCCTTGAAGAGAAATCTGACAATGTAGAAAAACAAGGAAAGAAAACGTCACAAGTATACTCATATGAACGAGGTAACTGAATGCACAAACAGCCGTTTCTTTAGAATTGCACTCTGGGTCTTTACGACAAAAAACTTCTTGTCTTGTGTCTTACTATGTTAGGTGCTTACCATTCTTTGATAAGATCAACTTAAATAACTATTTATCACACAAAACCGTTGGAGTTACAGTTCAAATAAACATCCCATAAAGTTATTCATATTTTCATTCATAGTAAAATCTCTTTGTTCTGTAATCAATATATTTTCATATTACCTGTAATAAATAATACATACTCTCCAAAAAAGAAGTGTAGAGATGAAAATTTCAATGGTTAATGGGTAAATTTCAAAGCATGATAGGGAATCACAACTGTTCTGTAAAACACATAATTTCACATAACTGGAGGAACAAACAAAAAAGTGTTTCTATATGATGTTCCGGATTTCAAAACACATGCATGTCGTGCAGATGGTCAGTGATGTCAAGTTCATTATCTGTTATGACCACCACATGCTTGCATAACCGCACAGCAATGTCTGGGCATTGACTGTATTAGTCTCTGAATTGTGGCCTGGGGAATCCTTCTCCATTCCTCCTGCAGTGTTAGAGCCTGTTCATGAAAAGTTGCAGGCTGTGGTTGACACTGTCATAGATGTTGGCTAAGTTCACACCAAAGATGCTCAACTGGGTTCAAATTTGGCAATCTGGGTGGACAAGGAAGCACATTTAAGTTGTTATTGATGCAAGTCTTGTACAACCTGGCACTATCATGGTGTAAAATCACACATTGGACATCAATGGCAGGAAAGATGTTTCTGCAAAATTTCGTCCCTGTAATGTACAGCCATCAGATTGCCTGCCGTGAACAAGATTTGTACTTTGTGTGTATGGTATTGCCCCCAACATCATGACACTTCCTCCACCACATCTGCCCTCTTGACGTACACAATTATGTGTTCTGTCACACAAATTCAGCCATCATGTCTTTGCAAGAGAAAACACGATTCATCACTAAACCATGTCCATCTCCAATGTTGCAGATTCCAGATCTGAACGTTAGTACACCAACAAACAGATTTAAGATGATGATGTCGTAAGACATAGCCAAAGTAAGGCATCCTGACTCTCAATCCAACCTGGCAAAGACGATTCCGAATGGTCTGGGCGGATATCCTCCGTATCCTTCTTGGCATGTTGGCAGCTAACAAAATACATGTTATAAAGAAATTGATTTTCAATAGCTCTGAAATAACGAATTTATTTCACTATTATAAGTCATCCTTCAAAATACAGGATTTCTATCCATTCTATTATATTTTCATAAAACTGACTTGAGTTATCTTACTTTTAAAGAAAACACAACTCATATATAACTTTATTTTTAATAATATTGAGTTCACGGATGTAATCGCTGTTATTCCACAAAATAAAGGATTTCTAGACATTTATTTTGAAGCAATGTGTGTCATCACTGCCAGGTAAGTCAAGACTGAGATATTCAGTGGCCATTCATGTAGTGTGTGCAGCATACTTCAGTGGGACACTAGACTGCTTGCTAAACATTCCTCCCCACAACATCTAGCGTGTTAGGCTACCCACTATCCCCACCAAATGAAAACAG